CTCCACGGAGCCTCTGGGCTCCAAGCAGCCATAGGGATTCAGGTGGGGGCAGGGGCCAGCATTTCTGGGTCTCCAGGCGGTCCCTCTAACACAGCAGGAGAGCACATGGGGGCTTTGGAGATCTGGTGTCCGGTCTGCTTTCTAACTTGGGCTCTACCACTTAACCAGCTAGGAACCTTGGGACAAGAACCTCAGTCTGCTCAGCTGTAAAATGGGGGCAGTACCCTGATTTCATACTTAGTGAGCTTGTAGGGCCTTGACTTACGAGTGTCCGGACTAACGAGTTTTTTGAGATACAAGCTGTCTCTCGGCCGATTTTTTGCATTGAGTTGATAGAGTAATTTGAGTTAACGAGCTCCTTAACAAGCTCGGTCTCGGAATGAATTAAACTCGTAAGTCAAGGCCCCACTGTAGTCCCTTCCCAGATTCTTAAAATTCTTATAAAATTCTTATAATCTTATTTTAATGATTACAGATCTTTCTATAATCATTAAGATTATAAAATTTTATAAGAATTAGATCTTATAAAGATTAGATTTTATAAGATCTTTCTGTAATCATTAAAGTAAGCTAGACTGAGTTTTCCCTATAGAAAATATGAAATGAGAGATAAATTATGACTTTGTGATTTTATTTTTGCATTCTCTATAGTTTAGATACATGTTCTGTTTTGGAAAACTATTAGGATTGTCCATTTGCCTGTGGGCAGGGAAAAGAGGCGTGTATTTATCAGACATGCTGGTTCCTTTCTTGTTCATTAAAATTAAGCTGAGAGAGGTTTACAGCACAAAACAGATGGATTCACTTAAATAATTTCCTTCCAGTATTGTTTATCATCTCCCTTTGATTGCCCAAAGTTCCTTGTGTCTTGACACTCATTTTTTCATGCTCTTGGGAGCAAGAAATTACAGACTGAATTACTCAAAAGACCTGGCATTTTAGAATTTTTTAAAGTTATATCTTAAGTTTTTTTTATTTTTTAATGTTTTAAGTATTTCACATTAGTCCAGTTTCAGTTACTCAAGGATTTGTAGTTCATGAGTTAATAAGTCTCTTTTCTGGAGTCTCCTAAAATTACTGAAATATAAATGAAGATAAGCATATTTGAATGAATACATATTTATCTGAATCCCTTCACCAGGTTGTGTGTATAAATGTGTGAGTGTGCGACATAAAGGTGGATGAGATTTCAAATGTTACAAAGTTCACTAACGTTACGCCCGATTACACATAAACTACCTTAAAAAACAATCTGTTCTTGAAAACTTAAAAAAAAGGGTCTTTCTCCCATTTCCTTGGAGTATCCAGTTTCTGTGTCTGATATAATTTCATTTGTAGTCTTTCCTTTCTAAAAAGGTTATTTGGTTTTTATCTGCACTTATATCTTTCTATCTACTTGAAAACTAATATGTAAACACGGGCACATTTTCCTATAGCATTCTCTTTCTGTTTTTAAAACTTTAAGTAAACTAAGATAATGCACACTGTGGGAAATAGTAGCTCGGTTTGGGGAACAGAGGAATTTATATGTTTATACCTTATCTTCTCACCTACAGAATAAAAATACCCCTGCTTTTCAGGGCTGTTGCCAGGACTCTTGCTTGTTAGCTGTATTCAAAATACATAGACTCTCAGCTCTGCAGAAGCAATTTGCTTCTCCTCTGTTTCAAGGTTTATTTTAAATTTCATCCCAGGCAGTAAATGTGGAGCCTTAAGGTCTGCTTATTTTTTTTTTTTAAGTTTAGTTAATCCATGGGTTCTAAGAACTCTAATCGTTGAGTGGATTTTTAAGAGAGAATTTCATTTCTCTGAGAACATCAGCTGGCATCTACTAAAAATTAGCAATGAAAAAAATCACTCTTCTCGTAAATGACCTTCAGAGAGCACGCTGTGTGAAAACAGAAATGTGCAATGTTTCCACGGGCTTTGTAAAAAAGTGGCAGAAACTTGTCAAAAAACTCACCGCTACCTAGCAAAATAATGAAGGAAATGTCTCAGGCAATGCCTGTCAGGAGTCTCTCTCTTTTTTATTTTTAAGACCACAATTAAGCCCTTGCCTTGGCCCGCAGCTCTGTACCATCTTACCCAGCAACCTCTCTGGTCACATTCCCAGCCCCTCTTCTTCCTCCTTGCTAAGCTGAAGCCACACTGATCCTCTGGTAGGTCCCTCTTTCTAGAACATGCTTCCCCAGGTGCTTGTCTAAATAGACATTTAGATCTCTGTTGAAATTTTACACTGAGAGCATTTCTGTCCTCTGTCCTCTACCCCCGCATTATTTTTCTTTCTATTACTTAAAACTGCCTGACTTTCTTTTCTTCCTTTTCCTCCTATACCTCTCCCTTTTTTTTTCTTAACCTTCTTTTTCCTTCCCTCCCCCTTTCTCCCTCCTCCTCTTCTTCTAATTCTTTTTTAATTTTTGTTTCCCCACAACAGAGTGGATGCTCCATAAGAATTGAGCATTTTGTGTTCACTACTGCCTCCTTAGCCCCTGGAACAAACAGGGCACACAGTCATTATTCCTTTTCAGTGGTTCTCAACCTGTGGGTCACGACCCCTTTGGGGGTCTAACGACCCTTTCACAGGGGTCTCCTAAGTCCATCGGAAAACACATATATAATTACATATTGTTTTTGTGATTAATCACTATGCTTTAATTATGTTCAATTTGTAACAGTGAAATTGGGGTCACCACAACATGAGGAACTGTATTAAAGGGTCGCGGCATTAGGAAAGTTGAGAACCACTGGGACAAATCATTGAGCTAATTTGTAACCTTTATAATACGTCACACCCCCATCCAGCTCCTTAATGCTTATGCTGCTTTTTTCTAATATATCTGGTGACTCAGTCAGCTGTAACCTAACAAATAGTCTAAATTAAACTAGTCCTTTTCAGCCTTTAAAAAAAAAAAAACACACAGAGCACACATATACGTATGTGTAATAATGTGAATACGATGTTATACAGCAGGGGAAAAGTGAGAAGGGACTTAGAGCTTGTTGAACATTTTATTTCCTGCATTTTCTAAAATTATAATACAATCTAATTACATTAGATTTTAATATAATTTACAATATAAATCTAATATTAGAGATAATATTAAAAACTAAATTTCTTCTGGGGCCTCCAAATAGTCTTTTTTTAAAAAAATTTACACCCATTAATACTTCACAGGTATGTGTAACACACTTGCTACACCCAGTGATAGGTTGGTTGAGAAACTGAGATAAATATGGAGTGAACTGAATTTTCTTTTGGCTTAAGAGATGATGTGATGTGAAGGGTTGTCAATATCTTTGCTAAAGTAGCTGAGCCTTCTCACTAGAAGTATAAATCAAAATGAAAACCATAAAGCTTGTCATTGCACAGAGCAATACAAACGCTGCCTCGTAGGTAATGCATTCTCCCTTGGGCAACCTCTGACAGAAGCGGCTAAAAAGCCACCTTTCACAAGAGTAACTGTCCCCACTTCATATTCTCCTGTTGACTAGCACTGTGACCCTGGGAAAGTTATTTTGCCTCTCCGGGCCTATGAGGTTTCAGTTAGGTATAAAGGCCAGGGTTCTCTTGATCAGGAATCAACAATAGAAATATTGAGAAAAGGACTAGGAGGGGTTGCAGGCCTCCACACGGAATCAAAGGAAGAGTATGACATTAAAACAAAAGAAATAACAAAACAAAAGAACTTAATTACAAAAGGCCCTTCAGCAAGCTTCGTATTCCTTCCAGTGGGCCAAGAAAACTGTGGGTGTGACCAACAAAACATTTGGGAGAACTAAACATGGGAAGCCGACTAAGCCAGCTGCCAGTTCACCACACATATTACGATGTGAGAGCTGCTGGCTGTCCATTTCCCCGGAGTGGTGAGAAATCGGAAACAACTTTTAATTTCATTTCATTTGCTGTACAGTAGATTGTTCAGCATCAGTAAACAGGTAGTTGTTCAGAAGCTATTCCTCTCTTTTCTTTAACATGGGCTGCTTTCCTTACATGAGAGAGGAAATTCAAAAGACATCGCCCCTGTACTCAAACATTGTAATCTAACTCAGTGTTCTGTAAAATCCTCACAACCGGGAGTAAACAGTTTGCCACAAACACCAACACTTAAAGTTTAAACTTCAGGCCTATTGTTTGATCGGAAAGGGGGCATATTACATTTTTAAATGTCTTCCTCAGAAATTACTCTGATCAAAGTAATTTCACACCCAAACTAGTCATTTTGCTGAAAACACCCATGGTTAATAAAGTTAAATGCCTCTGATGACTGTATCTTCTTTATTTACATATTTTAAGCATTGTATGCCTGCCAAACCCTGCTCCAGACATGTTAATATTTAAAATAATTCCCGATCTTCTTGCTGCTAAAAACTTCACAGCAGAAGAGAAGGCAAACATATGAGAAAATGTTAACCATTAACATCATGTTAGAATGACAAAAAGAAACAAAAATAATATTCTTCTGTCCTGAAGTTACTCCAGGCCACCAAGGCTTTCACTGGATTTGCCAACATTGCCACCAGTTGTCTTCACAATGATTCATTCCTTTCATCTCATGCTGTGAAGATACCCCCACTGTCCATACACCCCGTCCCCCCGTCTCCAGCTGGTGGCATGCAGGGGAGGCCTGCCCGGGCCTGAGTACTCCTGGGGCCTCTAGTGCATTCAAAGATGTCCAAGGTGAAGTTTAAGAGCTGCAGGTTTGAATTCCAAAGACATGTCTTGTGACTTAATGATTTCTTTTCTTCTCAGGTGCCCTCGCTAAAATTTCACCTCTTTCATCGCCCTGTTCCTCACCTCTCCAAGGGACTCCAGCCAGCAGTCCTGTCAGCAAAATTCCTACAGTTCAGTTTCTAGAATCTGCCGACACAACTGCCAAACCGGGCCTAGGTTCGCACAGGGCCTTAACTTACACGCAGAGTGCCCCTGACCTGTCTCCTCAGATACTGACGCCACCTGTCATATGTAGCGGGTAAGAATTGAACGTCGTTAGCTGGAGTTTAATAAGGAAACCAGTGCTACTTCTCCTCTTAGCAACACTCAACGGCAGTCTACGTGGCTATGTGTATGTTTGCCAGAGTAGTTGATAAGGAAGTATAGGATAATGTGATCTGTGTTGAATAAGGTATAATAGAAACTTACCTTTTCAGTGGTTTTCTACTAATAGAAAGTTTAGAGTTTCATATGGGCCATACAGCTAATCTTGAGAGATGCAATAATTAGTTGTATATTTTGTCTGCTTACTGATAGAACATACATAAAGCATATGTTTTTAAAAACCATGTCAGGTAATTTAATATAGTTTGATATGTTGGATTTTTTTTTTTTTACTTCTTCTTCAGGGAGGGTTTTATACTGATTTTTAAAGGCATTTTATGTTAAGTTTGCAATTCCCATTTTAACACTTTAAAAATGTGCAAATAACACCGGGCTCTCAGACTGCAAATAAGCAATGGTGCTGATCCACCATGTTGAAATAGACTTGCAAAGTGCTCTCTTTTCCTAGAGGGTTAGAAAATAAGGGCCTAGCATGGCAAGAGTAATTATTTTGCCAACATTGTCCCTAAGACAGAAATACCTCCTCTTACGGATTAACATAGTGTTGTTCTGCAGAAATGGCTTCATCTTGAACCGTTGAGCTTAAAGCTTTACAATATTTCTTTAGTCAAAAAGAGTTGAATGTTTTTAAACTAAGTATAATCACAGGAGTGTCTTGAATAACATGCTACTTATTTTCTAAGGTTCATGAGTATAACCATTTGAATAAATTAGTTACATGTTGGTCTTCCAATATCACATGTTTCACAGACCCAGATTTGATCAATATTTTCAGTTTTGAGCTTCACAAATTTCATATTCAGATCCTTTGTTTATAAACTCTATATTAAATGAATCTTTTGTATAACCTTTATTTTTATTTCCTTTCTCTTTATAAATATTTTTATAGGGAAAAAAACAGTTTTTGTTTGTTTGTTTGGCCATGGCCAGAATAAAAAGTGATTCTACTGACCAAAAGTTCTTCAGCCGCCTTCTCTATGACAGTTTTTTATTTATTTTTTTAAATATATTTTATTGATTTTTTACAGAGAGGAAAGGAGAGGGATAGAGAGTTAGAAACATCGATGAGAGAGAAACATCAATCAGCTGCCTCCTGCACACTCCCCATTTGGATATGCCCGCAACCAAGGTACATGCCCTTGACTGGAATCAAACCTGGGACCCTTTAGTCCCTAGGCCGACGCTCTGTCCACTGAGCCAAACTGGTCAGGGCTATGACAGCTTTTTAAATAAAATAATTTCTGTAGGATACTAATCCCATCTTTTCCCCCTACCAAAAAAAAAAAAAAAAGGCGTGACCTGTGGTAAAACATACGTATTCCCCTTTTAGTGATTCACAACATTCATGACTTTATCAAAAGCTCTGAGACGTCCTGCAAAAGGAAAACCTCTTGATTTTTGTTTCATCTAGAATTGTCTGTTTATTTAACCACAGAACCAATTTCATTAGGTTAACACCCAATAATTGCCCACGGAGCTAGTGTTTGGCGGAGCACCCTTCAGAAACATTTTAGGAGTATGCATCCCAAGCCAAGAAGAAGCCCAGTGGAATATCAGCATCCAGGACATCTGCTGTGGCCTCCAGATTCGTGTGGTATAAGTCGCCTAAAGAAGGGAGAGAGAGAGATGGCCAGGAAAGATCTACCACTCACATAGCTTTTCTCATCCCAGTCTATTTATTGTATTCCTAGCAGAAAGAATGTAATGGGATTTTTATAAAAAAAAGCTTTTGGAGAAAAACAAGGCAATTTCACTGCCTACTTGTTCAGTAATGTTTATAAATCCAGTAGTGTGTGTTTTATTTGTTTGGGCTTCATAAATCTATAATTCAAACCATGTTTTATTATTGCCTTCAAGGCAGCCACCCATGTAGGCCCAGAGAGCTCCAGAAACACACGACTAATTATTGTGGTTTCCGCTGCTGAACTCGAAGGGTTTGGCGTTGCTTCCCAGTCTCTTGGCTGCTGTAATGTCTATGCAACAAGCTGTTTTTTTGGCATGAAAGGTAGTATGTTTGAACTACTAATTTAAATGTTCCTTTTAAGTATTATCTTGCAATGAAAAATTTAAAACTAATAAACGCTGCTTCTACTAAGTTTCATTGGACAATGTAAGCACATCATTGGCATCGACTTTCTTTTTCCTTTGGCCCTGTCATTTTCTTTTGATTCCCTAATGGGATTTCATAATTAGAAATATTTTGAGTGCGATGTTTTTCCACTTACCTTCAAGGCTCAAAAAGTAAATTAAGTTAGGATGAAAAGACTATTTAACTAGAAAGTGTTTATCTGTACCACGCATATAAGCACAATGGAGGGGAGGCGGGGGGGTGATGAGCTATTAATTATATTAAATTATAAACTATCACTCACTTCTTTTATTTTTAGAGTGAATCTGTGGTTAAATAACAAACAGAAGCCCTCTGAGACCCTTTGTAATATTAGGCAAAAGGAAGGAACTCAGAAGCAAAATACAGAATTAAAACCTAACCATGAAGTCTCTAAACAAGATGAGTGAGAGGGGGAATTTGCCAGGACATTTGTGAGGTTATTTTTTAATTTATAATACAGTCAAAATGGTTGAGAAAGCAAAAGTATCCTATATCCTCCAACCTCCTCAGTTTAAGGCACCACCTCTCAGATACCTTCTTTTTCTCAGTTATCCACAATATACTTCCTTAGATTGTTTTTCTCAACTTGAATCCTATGCTGTTATTTTACATTCAACCTTCATCATTTTCTTAGGGCCTTAACAGGTAATTGACCCAACTACAAAAAAAACCAAAAAAAAAAAAAAAATTGGAGGCAAAAAAACATTCATATATTATTATTTTATTTCCACGTGTACAATCTTTTCTTAAAGGGTTCTTGGGACATAAAATTTCTTCAGCCATAAAAATAAATCTAATAGTGAGGTTTTTACATAGGCCCAGAGGGATTCTATTGGGGGAGATATTTTTTACCAAATACACATTGACATCTCCAAAACCATTAAGATAAGGAGGTAGCAGACTATGCCAGGATTCTCTGAATTATATAACAAAATTTTGCTAACCATTTCACTTCCAATATGGTCTAGACCAGCTGTGGGCAAACTATGGCCCGCGGTCCAGATTCGGCCCGTTTGAAATGAATAAAACTAAAAAAACAAAACAAAAAAAGACCGTACCCTTTTATGTAATGATGTTTACTTTGAATTTATATTAGTTCACACAAACACTCCATCCATGCTTTTGTTCCGGCCCTCCGGTCCAGTTTAAGAACTCATTGTGGCCCTCGAGTCAAAAACTTTGCCCACCCCTGGTCTAGACTATGGAGAAGGATGAGAGTCAAATGAAGCTTCTGATCCTTTGTATTGATCATGTTCTCACAAGAAAGAAAATATATTGCATATCAGCATCCATGTATAAAACCAAATGACTTTCCCCCTTAAACAAGTAGAAGGTAGAAATATTTGATTATTGCTATCTATCAATGTAGATAGATGGTGTATGCCTGTGATTTTTCTGAAAAGAGGATATACTTACAGCTGTTCCAATATTTTTCAGCTGTGGCAGGCCATATTCCCAAGGCAATCCTGCTGACGGGCCCCTGGAGAGCAGTGGTACAGCCATTCGGACACCAAGCAGAACGGGTAATTCTTTATTTGCATTCTCTTCCTCAAAAAGGAAATTGCTTTACTTTCTTCTGATCACAAATGAAATGTTCCTGATGATTTAGATGAGAAATTTTAAAAGACAATGAAAGAAATCAAAATCATCCATAATTTGACTACCTAGAGCAGTGGTTCTCAACCTTCCTAATGCCGCAACCCTTTAATATAGTTCCTCAAGTTGTGGTGACCCCCAATTTCATTGTTACAAATTGAACATAATTAAAGCATGGTGATTAATCACAAAAACAATATCTACACTAATAAAAGACAAACATGCAAACTGACCGTACCTTCACTACTCCTTAAGCCACGGCCACCAACCAATCAGAGCGACTATATGCAAATTAACCCAACCAAGATGGTTGCCGGCAGCCGCGGAGCTGGAGCAAGCAGGAGGCTTGGTTGCCCCAATGATGGAGGAAGCCAAGCTTCCCGCTTGCCGCTGAGGGCTCTGAGCTCTACTCAAAGCAATAAAGTTTCAATTATAGAAGGTAAATAAACCCCAGATACCTG